AGCAGGGGTGCTTGAAGGAGAACAGGCACCAGCAGGGACACCAACCTCAGGGGCTGCAGGCCCCCTGGAGGGCGCGCTCGACTGAGGCAGGCGTCGGCCAAAATGGCCGAAGGGATCCGAGAAGCGGTTCGGAGCAGAGCGAAGGGCGCGGTGGCGGAACGTACTCCTCCCTGCGGGGCCGCAACAGCATCGCTGGAGGAGCGCATTCCTACCCTCACGCCCTCGCTGCGCCCAAACGCGCCTAGCAGCCGTAACAGCGTCGATGCAGACTGTGCGCGGCGGCGTACCCCGGCCCCGCGAAGGCCCACCCTTCCAGGAGGCGGGCGCCAAGGGCGCCTTCAGTCCTTCTTGGGCACCGCCTTCGGAGCCTTGGAAGCACCCTGAGACTTGAAGGGGGGCTTCGAAACCTTGGGCTGCTTGGGCTGATGAGGTGGATGCTTGGGGAGCGCGACGGCGCGCTCGGCGTCGAGACGCGCCCGAAATGCTTGCAGCTCCTTCACGTATTCGCCCTGCGCCGACAGCCAGCGAGGATCCACCAGGGGTGAGAACGGGGTCTGGGCCTCGCGCTCCGTGTGACGACTGGTCACGCGACACGGGGGAGGCTCCAGCCCCGTGAGGAACCAGGCGGCCTCGAGATAGCCGCGGTCCCCCGCCAGCTGGTCGATGAACATGCACTGACACGTCAGTAAAGTCTGGACTCTCTCGGGGTTGCCCTCTTCGCAGGCCCGCCACAGCTCGGCGCTGAGGAAGGCGAAATGCGTCAACAACTCGTGCGTCGTCGGCTGAGCCCCCAAGGGACTGTGCTCCCGAAAATACTGATGCATGGCCATGGGGGTCACGGCGCTGACTTCCACGCCCAGGACGCGGGCCAAATTCTCCTTCATCAGTCCTCGCACGTCGGGGCCGTGCTGTATCAGCGCTTGCTGCCACTCGCGCCTCCGAGCAATGCCCCCCATCTGAGCCGATGCGGGCGCGGGGTCGCCCGAGCTCGTGGGCGGAGATTGAGCTGAGTCGCTCAGGGTCCCCAGAAGCGGATGGACGGTTGGGCGATGGCCCCGCCCCTGCTGCAATAAGAGGGACTGGTGCAGGCACTGTAGCATGAGGCTGAAGTCCGTCGGATTGGCCGCATGGGGCGGCTCTGACCCGTCGGCGCCGCCCGCCTCGGCAAAGCCGTCGACCGCAGCGGGATGGGCTAGCCCAGGTGGCGGCGGGGGGCCCATCGGTCCGAAACCGGGCGAAGGGGCCCGAGGGACAGCAAGAGAGCGCGCCTTTTCCCACGCAGAGACCAGCGCGGAGGTCGGACCCTTGGGACGCGCGGAGACCCGCTGTGGGGCCACGGGCGCGTGAGACAGGACGGCCTCGATCCCCGCAGGATCCAGCCCGAGGCGCGCCGCTTCGTCGCTGAAAAGCTGCGGCACCTCGGGCCGATCGCTCCGGGCAGCCGGCGCGGGGCCCAGCGGCTCGGGTCTGCCGACCATCGTGGAGGCCGCGTGGGCTGCAAGCAAGGCGCGCATTTCGGCAGCTACTTCGGCACGGGTCATGGGAGCCCCGTCGTCCAGAGACGCCGCAGGGGCACCAGGAGCGATCGGAGCGGGACCCGCGACCCGTGGCGGGGCGACGGCGCCCGCGCGCTTGGCGGGCGGGCCGCGCGGCACTCCAGCGACCGCGGGAGATCGCGCACTTGGGGCCGTGCGGTCGGCTTCCCCGTCGGCCGCGAACCCCTCGGGCTCCTCCATCTCGTCGGCAGAGTGATAGGGAGTAGCCCGATCGGCCCCTGGGAGCGGCTCTTCCCCTGCAGTAGGCGGGGCGCCGTGCAAGCGAGCGTAGCCCTCGCGAAGCACCCGAACCCCCGAAGGATGTGGCCAATAGACGCGGCCGCGCATCTCGGCGAAGGGAACGATGACTGCGTCCTCGCCGACCTCTAGAGGGTAAAGCGACTCGAGCTCGAGCTCTGCAACCTCGATATCTACGACGAGGACGGATGCGGTAGTGGCGAGCGGCCGTGAAGCGGCCCCCTGGAGCTGGACGTCCACTAGCTGGAAGGGGCCTATCATCCCCGCAAAGCCATCCGCCTCGGCAGCCTCGAGCTCCGCCGTAGAGCGAAAGGCGCCAGGCAGGGCCAGAAGGATGCCCCCTTCTCGAGACGCGAGGGGGATAGCTGCCCAGCTGGTGTCGCCGTCGTCTAGGCGCCATCGTGCGTAGTCGCGAGCCGTGGGAGTCGCGAATGGGTAGAGCTCGGGCCAAAGAGGCCCTCCGCCAACTGGTGGCAGCTCAGCCATCAATGGGCGCTGCCGTGGAAGCTGCCGCCCGAATGCTGGGCGTCTGCCCGCTCGAGCGCTCGAGGTCGAGGCGGAACCCCGTAGGCCAGCGCTCGCGCCGCACGGCGGTCCTGCTCAGGGGAAGCAGGAACCGCACCGCGCGGCCAGGCGGAGGCCCTGAGCCTCCGCCACACGTACGGGCCCAGCAGCCCGAAGCAGCAGCCTGCGCAGGCGCTGCACGCGGCCGTCACCCAAAGGAGGGCGACGACCGTGCTGAGCAGCCAGGGAGAGACCCCGCCGCTCAGATCCACCGCCAGCCCGAGGCAGACGGTGGGGCAGGCGGAACCCGCCGAAGGGAGGGGGCAGTAAGCCCCCTCACCCTCGGACGAGTCCGCCTGCTGGATGGACCAGGCAGGCGCAGGAGGCCCTTGGTCCTGAAGCACAGAGAGGGGGGCAGCCACGAGCCGCTCGTAGAGCGCGGCCCGCAGCCCCCTGAAGAAGATCTCCCCAGCGCCCTCGAGAGCCGCTTGTGCGACCGCCTGCATAAGGCGTCCGCACGCGCGGCCGACGGGGGGGCACTTGGGCAGAGAAGCTGCGGAGACAGCAGGAGCTTGCTCACAGAGAATAGAAGAAGCATGGTGATGATGATGGTGATGCTGATGGTGTCTCGATGATGATAACAATGATAATGACGATGTTGATGATGATGTTGCTCATGATGATGATGGTGCCCCAATGATGATGATGTTGTTGATGATGATGCGATGATCATGATGATGATGGTGTCCCGAGGATGATGACGATGTTGATGATAATGTTGATGATGAGAACGATAATGATCATGATGGTGTCCCGATTATGATGATGATTATGATGATGCTGCTGATGATGATAACGATGACTGTGCCCCGATGATGATGATGATGTTGATGATGAGACGATGATGGCGATGGTGAGGATGATGTTGTCCCGATGATGGTGCTGACGTTGATGATGATGTTTATGATGATGATGATGACTGTGCCCTCATGATGATGACGATGTTGGTGATGATGTTGATGTTGATGATGTTGATGATGATGATGACGTTGATTGTGAAAACGATTGTGATATCGATAGTGAGATCGATATTGAGACCGAATGTGAGATCGATTGTGTGATCGATTGTGAGATCGATTGTGAGATCAATTGTGAGATCGATCGAATGAGATAGATCGAGTGAGATCGATCAAATGAGATCGATCGAGCGAGACCGATAGTGAGATCGATACTGAGATCGATAGTGAGACCGATTGAGTGAGACGTTGGTTCCCCCCCCCCGAACCTCCTTATCACCCGAAGGGTGGTCGTATAGGTATACTTGTTGTGTTGAGCGTTGCCGCGGCGTTCTGATGATCATGCGAAGCGGGCATGGTTGTGTCCGTCGTAACTGCTGTTCGAGGGGCTCCGTCAGCGTTCACCTCTCTGTTCCGTATAATACTGGCGATTCAACCAGCCACATCCACCTGGTCCTGCAATATGAAAATCCTCCTCCTCCTCCTCCTCCTCCTCCTCCTCCTTGTCAGGATGATCATCACAACAACCACCATCATCATCTCCATACCCCTCCCCGTCGGCCTCCTCCTCCTCTTCATCCTCCTCCTACTCCTTCCTCTCATCCTCCTACTTCTCCTACTCCTCCTCTACATCCACCTCGTCATCCTCATCATCAGCATCATCGTCATCATCATCAGCAGCAACACCAGCAGCATCAGCATCATCATCATCATCATCATCATCATCATCATCAGCATCATCATCAACATCATCATCATCATCAACTTCATCAGCATCATCAGCATCAGCATCATCATCATAATCCTCAGCATCACCATCATCATCAGCAGCAGCATCAGCATCATGAGAATCATCATAAGCATTAGCAGCATCATGTTCATCCTCAGCGTCCTCAACATCATCATCAGCATCATCATCATCATCATCATCATCATCATCATCATCATCATCGTCGTCATCATCGTCGTCATAATCGTCATCATAATCATCATCTACAGCAACATCATCATCATCATCATCATCATCATCATCATCATCATCATCATCATCATCATCCTCAGCATCATCCTCATCTTCATCATCATCATCATCCTCAGCATCACCAACCTCAGCATCATCATCCTCAGCATGATCATCATCATCATCATAATCATTAGCAGCAGCAGCATAATCATCATCATCAGTATCGTCGTAACCATCATCGCAATCGTCATCAGCAGTATCATCATCAGCAGCGCTATCGTCATCATCATCGTCAGTATCATCGGCGACATCGTCATCGTGGTCGGCATCCGCAGCATCATCATCATCATCAACAACAACACGAACATCAACATCGTCGTCGTCAATCACCCTAGACACCATCATCATCAGCAGCAGCATCATCATCAGCATCAGCATCAGCATCATCACAGTATCAGCATCATTGACGTCGACGTCGTCAGCGCCATCATCAACATCATCATCAACAACATCAACATCATAATCATCAACATCATCGACATCAACATCCGCAAACTAATCATCCTTCTCCCTCCTCCTCCTCCTCCTCCTCCTCCTCATCCTGCCTCTCCTCCTTCTCCGATTCCTCCTGCTCCTCCGTCTCCTCCCGTCCTTCTCCACTCTATCCCAAAGCTTCTGCTCTCCCCGTGGCTCCCGAAAGCATCCAAGCCGAGCCCACCGGGCCTCACGGGCACCACCCTGCCGAGCACCTGCCAGTCCCTGGCCTCAGGCGCTGGAGCGGCAGCGACGCCGCCGCTGCTCGAGGACGACGCCCCCTGCGGCGGGCGCCCTCGCCGCACACACACACACACACACACACACTCTCTCTCTCTCTCTCTGTCTCACGCTCTTCCCCTGGAGGCACTAAAAAAGAACCCACGACGACGTCGTCGTCGTCGACGTCTTCTTTCTAGAGGTTCCCATGCGTTTCTGAAAGCTCTCGTCATCTGCATCTCACAATTCCATAACCTGCAACGCGATTCCAAAGATTCGACAAGGGTTCCCGATGCGAGCGGCAACATGACACATCCGCCGAAGTCTCGGAACGCCGCGGTGCGGCCACACACACAAACAAAAAGAACGGTCAGGGATGCGTGTAAACAGAATGTTGGTAACCTCTGGCCTGCAAACCGCAGCTCCTGCCCCAGACCGAAGGGAAACCAAAACACGGCTGGACGCAGCTCGAAAAACTGGCCAGAAAGGAGCATGGAACAGGTGTGCGGACAGACTTCGAATGGATTTTGCAACTCTTGCAGAGTTTTAAGACTAATGTGGGCGGCGCTAAAGCGAGAGCCACATCTTGAAAAGCACCCGCCCTCAATCCGTGAAGCTCTGGTAAATTTTGGCGGTGCTAAGGCGCGAGCCACATCTTGAAAAGCACCCGCCCTCAATCCGAAAACTCTTTTGGAAATGTTTGAGACGAATGTGCCCGGCGCTAAAGCGAGAGCCACATTTTCAAACGGTCCGTCCTCCTGTAAAACTCTTTGCAAATGTTTGCGACGAATGTGCGCATTGCTAAGGCGAGAGCCACATTTTGAAAGGGCCCGCCCTCCTTCCGTGAAACAAATGCCCTTTTTTAAGCTTCAGTGTCAGACATGGTGAGGAAGTTTGAGGCGAAACGCGCGGCCCGCCCTTTCGACCGGCCTTGGGGTGCGACAGGGAGGAGTTACATGGGAAAGGAAGAGAGGACGAGGACGAGGACGAGGACGAGGACGAGGTGTAGGAGGACGAGGGACACCATCGGGACACCATCGGGATACCAAGGGCCACCGCCGGCCAACGGGGAGGGCACAGCATCATTTGACCCGTCGCCTTAGATAACGGCGGAGTCATTCCGCTCGCCCGCACACGCAGCTTCGCCTCGCCCGCATGCGCGACACGAACACGAAACCGAAGCCGATTTTCCTGGGGGGCGTCTCCGTGTCGCTTCGATCTCACCCGATGTTCAGCATACCAGAAATGGCGTTTCGGAAAGATGCGGGACTGTCAGGGCGCAACAGAAGCGTTGATTCGCGGTGTGGAAGTCCAAAGGATGGCGTTCTGGCGCGATTCAGGATCGCCAAGACGCAACTGTCAGATTGATTCATCGCGTTGGATTCCCGAGAATGGTGTTTGGACACGCTTCAGGATCTTCAAAGGGTTGTCTCCCAACGGCCACTACCCTCAGTGGAAATGAATCCTTGTAGGGGCCTATAAAGAGCAAGGGATGCGGCCGTCAGCACACAATGACAACGTCAAGATGACGAAGGGGGCGTGTTCAATGTGGCACTGCTGCTCGTGATGGTGCTGGTCATCGTTGGGTCTATGGCGTTGCTGGGGCTTGGCTGGATGCTCGGGTTGAGCTGCGAGAGACGGACTGCATTTACAACGGCAGTTGCGGCATCATCTGGTGTGTATATATATGTATGTATACACACGCACCTAAGTACTCATAGTATGCGCGTGCACATGTGTGCGTGGGTTGTCTGACACCCGGAGTCCCCACACTTTTGAGTCCCAGGCCCCATCACTTCTCGAGTCCTTCGCGAAGGCCGCCTTTCAGCGACCGAGGACAACAATGTTTAAAACGCGGTGGCGTTTAGAACTAAAAACGAGGGGAAACCGAACGATTGCAACGAACGTTTACAACAAAACGTGCCAAATGAAAGCGAAAAACGAAACGAGGTCGCCACTCAGGAAAAAAACAAAACGAAAAACGAAACGAACTTCGCAGATCACGATGGAAACAAAACAACATACGAAACGAAGGCCTAGAACAATGGCTGGGGCCAGGGCAGCATTGGCCGGGGGCTGGGGCCAGGGCGAAAGCGAATAGCGAGGTTTTTGGCTTGGGCTTGAACCATTCCCTCCCCCCCCCCAGAAAAAACGGCACAAAAAACTGACCAGGGCTGCGGCGAGGGCTACAGGGCCAGGGCTAGGGCGAGGGGCGAGGTTCCAGTTGATGCTTTTGCAAAAGACAAACATAAAACGAAACGAACAACTAGCTCGGGTTGCGGCGAGGGCTAGGGCATGGAGCTCCAGCGAGCGTTCAGTTTCTCGGTCGGGGTTGAGCACCAAGAAAACGAAAAACTAACTCGGCCTGCGGCTACGGGTGAGGGCTGGGCTAGGGCGCGGGGCGAAATTCTGGTTGGGGCCATGAAGATTAAACCGAAACCGACACGAAAAACGAAACAAATGCCCCGAAGCCGTGGCTGGGCCCGCGGCAGAGGCTGGGGCCCAGGCCGAAACTACGGCTAGGCCTGCAAGGCCCAGGCCTGGGACAGAGTTGCGGGGCTGAGGTAGGGTAGGGGCAGGGGCACCAGCTCAAGGGCCGCGGCCAGGGTTCAGGGGTGAGGCCGAGGCAAGGGTTTGGAGCTGGGGGCCGCGGATGGCCGAGGCTCGGGCTGAGGCCAAGGGCCACGGCTGGGGCTTCGCGCTAGGGCTCAAGTGAGAAAATGGGGGGCTGGGGCCCTGGAGTCGAAGGCCCCTGGGCAGGATTGTTGGGCCCGGAACCGAAGGCCCAGGAGTCCTGGGACCTGGACTCGAAAACGCAACAGTCCTGGACCTTCGGTCCGAAAGCCCAGGATGCCTGGATCCTGGAATCGCTGGCCCAAGAGTCCAAGGGCCTGGAATCCAAAGCCGGGAGGTCTTGGACCCCGGACTCGAAGGCCCAGGGATCTGGGCCCTGGAATCAAGAGCCCAGGAGCCTTGGGCCCTGGAGTCTACTTGCGCTCTGGAGTGTGAGGCCGAGGGACAGTCGTCGGCCCTGGACACAGGGGCAGGGGAATCCCGGGGTCCTGGAATCCAGTGTCCAGAAATCTCGGGCCCTGGAGTCCAAGGGTGGCATGGGGCCCTGGAGCCCATGACCCAAGAAATCTGGGCCCTGGAAACTCAGGTCGCCGAGATCGGGCAGCCCAAGCCGCAATTGGAAACACAAAGGCATTGCCAAAAACCAACGGGAAATTCAAAAAAACGTTCGTTTCACTTGCATCCTGGGCCTCTACATGAGGCGGCGCCTTCCCACTCAGCGCGTTTCCCGTATGGCGCGCGCATCACACAGGTGACCCACGCGCGGGTGGGTCACCCGAACACTGGCGGAGAAAACCAACTGTTTCACTTGCAGTCTGGGCCTCAACATGAGGTGACGCATTCCCACTCAATGCGATTCCTGTGCGCGCACCACACTGGTGACCCACGGGTGGGTAGGTCACGCGAAAACTGAAAGGAAAGAAACTTTCAACTGGCATGTCAGGCTCAACATAAGGTAATGCACTCCCGCTCAATACGTTTCCCACATGCCGCGCGCGCCACACAGGTGACCCACGGGCGGGTGGGTCACGCGAAAACTAGTTGAGGAAAAAACATAAATGTTCGCTTGCGTTCTGGGCCTCTACATGAGGTGGTGCATTCCCACTCGGCACGATCCCCGTATGGCGCGCGCACCACACAGGTGACCCACGGGTGAATGGCTTGAGAACAAGAAAGTGTCAGTTGCAATCTGAACCTCAACATGAGGCGACGTATTCCCACTCAGCGCGTTTCCCGTATAGCGTGCGTACCACACAGGTGACCCACGGGCGGGTGGGCCACCCGACAACTTATCAGTCACCGTGCCCCCTGGCACGGTGAGGCGTAGTAGAATGCCAAGTACTGTCTGGCAAGGTTTCTGTGATCTTCGAAATGCAGCCCCCCTCTGGGCACACCTCGCTGCGTGCACAGGCCATTTTTCTGGGGGGTCCCTGGGCGGTGATGGCGCCTCCCTGGAGCTGTCCAAGACTCCCATGACGGCCCAGGTGGCCTCCAAGGTGGTCCAAGAGGGCCCCGAGTTGCCGAACGATCGCTCGAAGACTCCCAAGATGGCCTTGGCGCAAGAGGCGTCCAAACCGCCCCAGAAGGCTTCCAAGAGATCTCCCAAGAGGGCCCTCAAAGGAAACATTCCTGGATGCTCCTGACATTTGGGAGGATTTGGGCGTTATCGCCTTTTCAGCTTTCCGAAGCTCCAAGCTGGCCCAAGAGGCCCCCACGACCACCCCAAAACAGATCAAGAGGCCTCCAGGAGGGCCCCAAGACGGCCCAAGAGCGCCCCAAGACGGCCCAAGAGGCTAACAAGACGGCCCAAGAGGGCCCCGAAACGACCCCCAAAAGAGCCTCAAACAGAGAGCGCGATCCGAAAATCCTAGCCTTCCGCCCCAAGTGGCCCCCAGAAGGCCCCTAGAGGCGCTCGAGACGCCCAGAAGAGGCGCCCAAGAGGCCATCAAGAGGCCCCCAAGAGGCTCGCAAGACACCCCAAGAGGCCCCCAAGAGGCCCCCAAGAGGTCCCAAGACGGCCCCCAAGAGGCCTCAAACTGCCTCCAAGATGATCCCCGAAAAGCCTCCCACGAAATACCAACGAACATCCACTAACAACCCAAGCACGGTGGCGGGACTTGCCGTAGGCAGCTTGATTGGTAAAAACCGGTGTCACTTGCAATATGGGCCTCATAATGAGGCGACGCAGTCCGAATCAATAATCGGCGGCGAACGAGGGGAGAAATGAAAAGGAGAAGGCCCGCTCAGAAAGCCGCGGGACTTCTCAGAAGCCCTCGCGCCTTCTAAGAAGTGATTATGTCATCGGGGAAGGCTTCGAAAACTTCCCACAAAGCAAGGTGATTTCCTAATATTATGAGAATTCCTGTTCGTTTTCATTTCCCCCCCGCGTTTGCCGCCGATCCGGCGTGTGAGTTTCTGAGAGCGTGGGCTTGAGCTCGCTCAAGCTTCGCTCTGCGGGGGGGGGGACGTCATTTCCGACCTAACTCAG